AGGGCGAATGGTCGGCTCTTGACGTCGGTTTTCACCGCGGTGTTCTGACCGTGGTATCGTTGATGGAGTATGGCTATGCAGCCAGGCTGTACGCCTTGCGTGCGGAGTGCTTGTCAAAGGTTCCTGTGTTCGACGGAGTCGAAGGCCTTCTTGAAGTCGAACGCCGCCAACCATAGGCTTTGACTCCATTCATTGGCAAATTCACATAGGAGTTGGAACGTGAAGAGGTAGTCGGTCGTGGAGTGGTGAGGTCGGAATCCAGCTTGGTCGGCGGTCTGTTGCTTGTCGAGTGTGGGTTGGAGGCGGTTGTACAGGAGGCGGCTGTAGAGTTTGTATAGCAGTGGCATGGTGCAGATTGGACCGCAATTGGACGCTTGCGTTAGGTCTCCGCTCTTGGGGATGACGGTGATGAATGTTTGTCGCCAGCTGTCTGGTGGGAGGGCTCCAGGTCTAGAAACTGTGTTGTAGAACAAAACCTACAAACAGACTTGCAAGCAAGTCAAAAGTAAAGAATACCTACAACCAACTGCAAACAAAACCTACAAACATTTCAGAGTAAGTGAAGAATACCAGCGGAAAACACACGAAACTCGATCGTTGACGAGAAAACTGAAAAAAGGACAGCCCTAGATACGAAATGGAAAGCCGACGAAGATCTAGCGATAATAAGCGCAAATCGAGTGTTCACGAAAGTCAGCGAAGGACCGACGACAATCAAATGTCGACGAACACAGGCAAAACACTTACGAAAATCGAGCACCCCTCACGAGCATCGTGCCCCATGGCCCCCTCTGGAGGCCCCTAATCAGCCTCTCAAGGCGGCTCAATGGGGGCTGCTGTCAGCACACCCCTAATGCACTTCGTGGCCGATCCCCGGATGCACTCAAGCGGCCATCAAGACGCTCAACGGATCCGCATTCCAGCGCACGCTTCATGCACGTTTCCCAGGGGGCCTTAGCAAGCCCCCTAAATAGCTTAAGAGAGTCTCATTTGGGTGCCAATCCTTAGCGCACTTCGAGGTCCATCGATTTCCAAAAGGCGCTCAGCTGATCATCGAGACAGCTGCATGGATCTCGTTTCGCCACACCCCTCGCACACGAGCGTCGACAAGAACATTGCAAAAAAGAAGATACGAATTGAACTGCCGACGCAGATCTAGTCAGAATAAACGCAAATCGAATGTCCACGAAAATCCATGAAGAATCAACGAATGGCGGATCTCGACGAAAACCAACGAACACATGCTTACGCAGGACGAAAGATTTCCCTCTTGACGTCGAGGAAGACCACCCCCGTCCCCGGAAGAATCTTAACACGGGGGGGGCCTGCGGTCGACGGATCCCATCCTTGTCGGTTCCCGGAACGAATTTAATGTCAGAAATTCAAAACGGCGTAGAAATGGGATCCGCCGTAAAAAAAATCCGGCGCGGACTCCGTGAACCAGAAATGGGATCCGCGCGCACGGAATGGGACCCACCGCGATTTCACGATTACGGTCAGGTTGGAAATCGGACCCGTGCGACCCTCATTGGGTTCGCCGATATGATTTCCCAGGGGGCCCGTGCACCGCGCGGGACCGTGAGGTTCAGCGCCAAGAAGAAAAAACGTTCGGAAATTCAAAACGGGGTAGAAGTGGTATCCGCCAAGAAAAATAAGGTCCGGCGCGAATCCCGAAAATGAGAAATTGGATCCGCGCGCACGGAAGTCGGATCTACCGCGATTTCACGATTACGGTACGGTTGGAAATCGGACCCGTGCGACACTCATTGGGTTCGCCGCTATGATTTCCCAAAGGGCTGGTGCACCGCGTGGGACCGTGAAGTTCAACGCCAAGAAGATATAATTTTCGGCATGGGGATGCATGCGGAAATCGAGTACCCCTCGCTCATATGTGTGCCCCATGGACCCTCTGGAGGCCCTTAATTAGCATCTGAACACGGCTCAGTGGGGGCTGATTTCAGCACGCCTCTCACGCACTTCGTGGCCCGTGAACCCTGGATGCCCCCAATTGGTGCGCAAGTCGAAATGGATCCGCATTTCGACACACGCTTCACGCATGTCGTATTCCAAGGGATTTTAGCAAGCCTCAAAAATTACACAAGTGAGTTGCATGTTGGCACGCATCCCTCGCGCAAGTCGTGCCCCATCGATTTCCAAGAGGCCTTCAGCCTCAGCTGCCCATCGAGACAGCTGCATGTATCCCAATTCCGACATACCTCTCGCGCAACTCGACCCTCATGGACCACAGCCTCAGTCTCCAAGACACACTCCATCTACTCAACAAACCCCGTCGCCAACACCCCTCTCATGCACTCAACCGCCTCCGCCCCCAACACACCACCAAGCTTCTCATTAGCCTCCGACCCGCCGCCGCACGCGCCCGCCCGCTTCCGTCTCCGACGCGCACCCCATCTCCTCAACAGCCTCCGCCTTCAAACTGCACGCGATTTTCAACAGCCCCTTTCCACGCCCCACCTATATACTCAACAGCACCCCGCTGCAAGAGCGAGTCGAGTCTTTGGGAATTCGGTCAAAATCCCGAAACGCCCGCCGCCCGACCGCCGCCCGCCGCCCGCGACCCGCCCTGCTTCCGTTTCCAATACACACACACACACACACACACACACACACACAAACACACACACACACACACACACACACACACACACACGCACACACACACACAGACACACACACACACACACACTCTTACGTCAGCGGCGCAGAGGAGCCAGAGGCGAGGCGAGGCGAGGGCGCCACAGTCGGGCACACAGGTGTGCCCGTGCCCTTTTGGGCAGGGCGCAAGAGGCCGTGGCCTCAGATCGTGTCCGAATAGACGTCGTGGACGAAGTTCCTCAAGAACCAATGCACCAACAAGGCAAGGAACGATATGCGTGCGAGCCGGGAGAAGAAGAAGGCGTGACACTCTTACGTCAGCGGCGCAGAGAAACCAGAGGCGCAGTTCACGGATGGAGGCGTCAACTGCACACACACACACACACACACAAACACACACTATTTACTCAACAGCCTCCGTCTCCAACATCACATGCCATACTTGACAGCCCCCGTCCCCAACATCCCACCCATCTACTCATCGCTTCCGTCCCCAACACACATCCATCTACTCAACTGCCTCTGCCCCGAACACCACACCCGATACTCGACAACGTTTCTTTCCAACAACCCACCCATCTACTCAACAACGTCCCGCAACATTAGAGAGCGCATTGGAATTCTATCAAGACTTTGACCCGACCCGACCCGTTAGGGCCCGCCAGACCCGACCCGACCCGTCAAGGCCCGGCCGCCCGACCCGGCCCGATCGGTTAGGGTCCCCAAAGCAAAGATGCTGAAAGCCTTTCATGGTTGACTCCTGTCGTTGTAGTAATCCTCCCCCATACTCCTCCCCCATCCTCCCTCCACATCCTTCTCCTACTCCCTCCTCCTCCTCCTCCTCCTCCTCCTCCTCCTCCTCCTCGTTGGGCTGTGGCTTATGTGCCTCACCCCCCTGGTAGCCTTCTCACGAGAAGCTTTCGAGGATTGCCTGACCTGACCTGACCTCCTCCTCCTCCTTCTCGGCGTCGTCTTCCCCCTCATCCTCTTCTTCCTCCTCTCATCCTGCCACACAAAGCCCACCAAAAATTGAGCTAGAACGTGTTCCGTAAAGTTCCTCGCTTTTCTGCTCGCCCTCCGCAACCTCCTTTGCCTTCTGCCCGTGCCCGTTCGAAAAAGCTGGGAACGCATGTATTCGCCTGCGGATCGTTCGTGGATGGGCTGTTGAGGATACGTACGCGAATGATCAACAGTGTTCTAGATTGGTGATCTGAATATCTCAGCCTCATAACATCACGATGTGCTTCAAATCTCAGCCAAGAGCGACATGCCGAAAAAGAACAGCCCTCCACCCGTGCAATTGTTTGGCCCCATTGGTTCCCCCTGGGGCCACCTTGGGCCGAATTGGAGATTATCACTACTTTCCGCTGAAGAAAGAGGTCGAGAGTCGGCAGGTGGAGCCCCGCGACCAAGCCCCTCGCCGACTACGAAGCCGGCGGCAGCTGCGCTCTCAGGCGAAGAAGAGAAAGGCGATGGCGGCCAGGTCTCGCACTAACGACCTGACGAGCCGAAGCTGCATGGCCGAGCCGAGGCTGAAGAACCACGGTCGATCTTGCGCTTAACAGAAAAAAAGATTCGCCCAGCAGGCCTGGGTCGGCTCTCCGGGGGGGAATGATAAAGATTTGAGCGCCAATCGGTCGCGAGCAGACGAGCGGGGTTTTGGACGCTTGGCCTGATTCTGGGATGCTGCTGAAGAGACGGCTGGCCAAAACACATTGGAGACGGCGGACCCTCCCCGGCAGAGTGGGCCATGTAACCCTACTCTGCCATCGAGCCTCGAGGGTTGACACAGACCCCCAGCACCAACGTCGTCGTCATCAAGAACATTAAGAAGCCCTTGATTGAAACCTGCTGCGATCGCTTCGCAGGTGCGCGCGGCACACTGTGCGAAACAGCTGGTCGACAGTTCCAAACCAGCATCTGGCAAACTTTCGCGGGCATTTGAACGACACCGACGGGAGAGACTAATCACCGGCACACTGCTAAAGTCAATGTCGAGTGAACAGGCGCGGACTTAGAGGAACCGAAAACATTGGCATGAACTCTGGGAAGACCGCGCGCTTGAGTGCGCACTGGATAACTCCTCCCCTGGCGCGCAAAGCGCGTCACGCTGGCAGGGGCCAGGAGAGAAACCCAGCATGGGGAAGAGACTTCTGTGGCAACTCATGGGAGCCTCCCATGTCGTCATCTTGCTGGCTCTTGCGATCGACGCTAACCGACGCTTATCGACGCTAGTCGACGCTAAATCGGCCTTGACCGACGCTGAATCGGCGCTTTCCCCTCGACTACGAGACACTATCGCACGCTAATGCACTCTGAGGGTGAAATTTCGAGGACATACTCCCATGAGATGCTACTGACAGAGGGACACAAAGACAGGGCAGTCAAGCAGGCGCGGCTCCAGCGCGGGCAGTGCGCGCCGCGGCCGACTCGCTTAACGCGCCGCTGTTGCTGCTTCTGGCGCGGCACAGCTTCTCGAAGCACGGCCTGACCAAGTCGTCCATCGCGCGCTGGCAGTGCCCCTCCTGCGCAGATGGGCTTCCAGACGCCACTTCTGGCGTCCTGCAAGAGTGACCCTGGGCAGTGACCCCTCGGCGCACAACTTCAAGGGGCCGCAGGGGGGCAAAATCCAACCGCGCGAGCCAGTGCTGGGAGGACCCCTGTGGGCCCACACCAGAGGTAACGCTGGCAAAGGGTCACTCTTGCGCATAGCCGATGCCCAGCCAGGGTCCTCCTGAGCCTCGGCATGGTGCGCCCTCTTGCCAGGAGGTTCTCTGCATCATCCTGGGGCCCAGGATCGCCCAGGCCAGGCAGGGCGGTGTCCAGATGCCTTCTGCGAACGTCCTTCTCCAGCGCTAACACCAAACTGGTCACCTGAGCGACGAAAAGAAAAAAGCCTTTCACGAGACGACACGGCGGCCTCACGCAGCGGCGTGCGCGGGCCGCCAGCACCGCAAACCGCGTGGAAACGCAGGCGGCTTCTGCCCGAATGTCGGGGCAGTCGACTCTGTTTCTTTGCGTCGCTGACCTGCTTGTCCAGCCGCCTTATGTCGTAGCTGATCTCGGCCATCTCCATGCTGGTAGCCTGGCCCTTCAGCTTCTCACATCCCCTCAGGAAGTCGTCCAGCTTGATGGCCCCATCGTTCGAGGCATCTATGAGCTTGAACAGCGTGTACGCGTCTCGGAAGTCAATCTGGAGGGCCTGGAAGTAGGCCTTCATCAGATCGTCCCCGGCGATCAGTTCGAGCTCGTCCATAGTTATAAGACCCGAGTTGTCGTCGTCGATGGCCCCGAAGAGCTGCTGCAGCTTTTCCGCGCAAGCTCGCCTGTTGTCGATGATAGACTTGGCGACCAAGTCTGGATTTCGCTGGGTTGTCTCTACGGCCGAGCTGACGAACACACCTGCGAAGCCCATAAATTCGCTAACCCCCGCATGCCGTTTGAATAAGGGGGCGAGGGACGGCGGGGTCCACGAGCTCCCTAGCGCATCTCCCGAGCTCTCCGAGCATTCAAGTCCTCTCTCGGACGCCGCCAGGATCCCCAGGATGTCTTCCAAGACGGCTCCAGAAAGGCTCCTGCACTGCCAAGAAGCCCCCAGACAGCTCCAAGTGGCCACCTGGCCTTCAAGGAAAGCCCCAAGAGGCCAAGACTCGTCAGAAAGTCATATCATTTCGCAGTTGCGCTTCCGATGGGCTCATGATGCCTCAATATGGCTTCCAGATCGTCCAGGTGACGCTCTAAGACAGCTCCGAAAACCCCAAAGAGTATCTGAACAGCGTCCCAGAGGAGACCAAGAAGCAAGCGTTCTGGATCCAAGCGGGAGCCCAAGAGGCCTCCGGCCCCAAAACACCACGAAAGCCTCGAAGGCTCCCAAGCGGGCCCCAAGAGACCTTCAAGAGGTCTGTAAGAGGCTTCCAGGAAGGCGCCCAAAAGCTTCCAAATTCAGCAGAATTGTCCTTCTTGTTCCAATGGGCTGCTGGGAATATAAAGAAGCGCAAACAAATACATTTGCTCGTCCAGCTTCCGGAGGTCGACGGAATGGCGTACGTAAGCCTCTTGACTAAGCACCACCACCGGGAGGCCGTGGAAAACATTTTCGACGCGGAGATCCCACTGTGTGCTTCTCAGCTACTGGCAATTCCGACTGTGAGTGTTTGAACGAAAAAATGGCAGCCAATAGCAACTGAGCGCTCCATGGCGGCTCACCCTTGGAGCACCCAAATGCTATGATTGCTACACCGGGATGCTCCTGGGACTCTGAAAGGAAAGAGTTCGGGGGTGCCTAAACCAGCGTTTCGTCTGAGAGGTCCCACAATCTGGGCGCGAACTGGCAAGTGTAACGCCCCCATGGCGGCTCCCCGTCGGGGTAAACAGATCATATGCCTACTACATGGCGGTGGTCATGAGGCTGTGAACGGAGGAGTCGGGGGTGCCATAACCAGGGAACTGCTCGAGGCATCAGCATCATCTCAGTGCGACCGGGCAAATGCAACATCCCGTGGCGGCCCCTCCGCAGGTGAGCGCGAAACTGCAGTTGTCCTACCCCCTGGCGTCTCCCCCCTGGGGTGCTCACATGGTGTGCCTGCTGTATCGATGTTACCCTGAGGCTCCGAAGAGACAGGAGTCGGGGCCGCCAAACGAGCGAACCGCTCGACACCTCCCCACAATCTGGGCGCGAGCGGGCAAAGATCCTACCCCGCGGCGGCTCCTCCACGGGGTGCTCACATTGTATGCCTGCCACTTCGAGTTGACCATGAGGCTTCCACAAGATTGGGTCCAGGTCCACCAAGCAAATAAACCGCTCGAGGCATCCCAGAAATATGGGTGCGACTGTCCTGCATCCTGGCGGCTCCTCCCTGGGGCGCTCAAATGCTACGCCTGCTATACCGCGACGACCGTGTAGCACTCAAAAAAAAAGCCTGCGGAGCAGATTACGCAAACCGCCCGAAGACCTCTCCACAATCTGGGCGCGAACGGGTTCCCTACCTCCTGCTGGCTCCCCCGCGGGCCCCTAAAATGCCAAGCCCGCTACATCGCGACAAGCATGGGGTTCTGAAGAGAAGAAAGTCCGACCAACCGAACAGACAAACCGCCTGACACACTCCACGATCTTGGCGCGAACGGGCAAATGTCCTACACTCTGGCGGCTCCATCGCGATGAGCAATGGGATACGAAAGAAGCAACACTTTATCAACTAAACCACATTCTGGACTCGAATGGGAAAACAAAAATTTTCCTGGCGAAGGACCCAACCATAAGCAATTGTTCGTAACGCGTTGTGGGTGCCGCTTTCAGTGGGGCTCCCTATGGGGCCACGAAATGCTGCCTTGGGTGGGGGAACCGCATACGAACTGCGCCACTGGGGCGGGCCTTCGGTGGAGTTCCCTAAGGGGCCACGAAACGCTGCCCTGGGCGGGTGAACCGCATGCGAACTGCGCCACTGGGGCCGCCGGTGGAGCTCTCTATGGGGCCACGAAACGCTGCCCTGGGTGGGGGAACCGCATGCGAGAGCAGCCACTGGGGCCTTCGGTGGAACTCCCTGTGGGGCCACGAAACGCTACCCTGGGTGGGGGAACCGCATGCGAGAGCAGCCACTGGGGCCTTCGGTGGAGCTCCCCATGGGCCCACGAAACGCTGCCCTGGGTGGGGGAACTGCATGCGAACTGCGCCACTGGTGCTTTCGGTGGACCCCCCCATGGGGCCACGAAACGCTGCCCTGGGTGGGGGAACCGCATGCGAACTGCGCCACTGGGGCCTTCGGTGGAGCTCCCTATGGGGCCACGAAACGCTGCCCTCGGTGGGGGAACCGCATACGAACTGCGCCACTGAGGCCTTCGGTGGAGCTCCCTATGGGGCCACGAAACGCTGCCCTGGGTAGAAGGACCGCATGCGAGAGCAGCCACTGGGGCCTTCGGTGAAGTCCCCTATGGGGCCACGAAACGCTGCCCTGGGTGGGGGAACCGCATGCGAGAGCAGACACTGGGGCCTTCGGTGGAGCTCCTATGGGGCCACGAAACGCTGCCCTGGGCGGGGGAACCGCATGCGAACTGCGCCACTGGGGCCTTCGGTGGGGCTCCCTATGGGGCCACGAAACGCTGCCCTGGGCGGGGGAACTGCATGCGAGAGCAGCCACTGAGGCCTTCGGTGGAGGTCCCTATGGGGCCACGAAACGCTGCCCTGGGGTGGCGGGACCGCATGCGAAAGCAGCCACTGGGGCCTTCGGTGGATCTCCCTATGGAGCCACGAAACGCTGCCCTGGGCGGGGGAACCGCATGCGAGAGCAGCCACTGGGGCCTTCGGTGGAGCTCCTATGGGGCCACGAAACGCTGCCCTGGGTGGGGGAACCGCATGCGAACTGCGCCACTGGGGCCTTCGGTGGAGCTCCCTATGGGGCCACGAAACGCTGCCCTGGGTGGGAGAACCGCATGCGAGAGCAGCCACTGGGGCCTTCGGTGGAGCCCCCTATGGGCCCACGAAACGCTACCCTGGGCGGGGGAACCGCATGCGAGAGCAGCCACTGGGGCCTTCGGTGGAGCTCCCTATGGGGCCACGAAACGCTGCCCTGGGTGGGGGAACCGCATGCGAAAGCAGCCACTGGGGCCTTCGGTGGATCTCCCTATGGGGCCACGAAACGCTGCCCTGGGTGGGGGAACCGCATGCGAGAGCAGCCATTGGGGCCTCCGGTGGAGCTCCCTATGGGGCCACGAAACGCTGCCCTGGGCGGGGGAACCGCATGCGAGAGCAGCCACTGGGGCCTTCGGTGGAGCTCCATATGGGGCAACGAAACGTTACCCTGGGCGGGGGACCCGCATGCGAGAGCAGCCACTGGGGCCTTCGGTGGAGCTCCCTATGGGGCCACGAAACGCTGGCCTGGGCGGGGGAAACGCATGCGAACTGCGCCACTGGGGCCTTCGGTGGAGCTCCCTATGGGGCCACGAAACGCTGCCCTGGGTGGGGAAACCGCATGCGAGAGCAGGAACTGGGGCCCTCGGTGGAGCTCCCGATGGGGCCACGAAACGCTGCCCTGGGTGGGGGAACCGCATGCGAGAGGAACCACTGGGGCCTTCGGTGGAGCTCCCTATGGGGCTACGAAACGTGTGAGAGGTGTGCCGAGAGCAGATGCAAGGAGGGGGAGGAGGGGGAGGAGGGAGGAGGGGGAGGAGGAGGAAGGAAGGTGGGACGCGGGGCGCTGTCTCTTCGAAACGAGGACCCAACACCACAGGATGGTTGGGAAAAAACCTGGCGGCTCCCTCTTGGGCTACTCAAGTGCTCCGTGTGCTACGTCGCGATGAGCATGGGGCTTTGAAAAGGTAGAAGTCTGATCAACTAAACAGACAACCGCCGAACCCATCCCCACAGCCTGGGCGCAAACGGGCAAATGTCCTACCCTCTGGCGGCTCCTCCTTGCCGTGCTCAAATGCCACGCCTGCTACGTCGGGCGTGCGTTAATCTGAGCGCGACGTGCATGAGTTATCGGGGGATCTGACGGTGAGTGAGTCTGAGTACGTGTCCGAGTGTCAGTGAGTCTGAGTGTGAGCGCATCTGAGTGTGAGTGTGAGTGAGTGCGAGCATGAGTGGTCTGATTGCGATAGAAAAAGAAGGAAGAGGGAGGTGAGGAAGTGGAGGAGTCCAAATCATATCCAGAACCCCATACGTGTGACGTGCGGAAACATTACGCTACCGAAGGACCAACATACTTAATTAAATATGGTGTGTTTGCTTATGTTTTCCATATATGCGCAATCCTGCGTCCTGAGCCCTCGTCGCGAATGTTCCTTATGTGTCATCCAACGCCATATTGCTTGCCACGCTTTGCGAGCCCGCAACGGATAGGGAGACCACCCCCAGCGCACCCCCTGTCGCGTCGAGGAAGTGCCACGCCTGCCACGCTTTGCGAGCCCGCAACGGACGAAGATACCACCCCCAACGCGCCCCCTGTCGTGTCGAGGAAGTGCCACGCCTGCCACGCTTTGCGAGCCCGCAACGGATAGGGAGAGCACCCCCAGCGCCCTCCCCCCTGTGGTGTCGAGGAAATGCCACGCCTGCCACGCTTTGCGAGCCCGCAACGGATAAAGATACCACCCCCAGCGCACCCCCCGTGGTGTCGATGAAGTGCAACGCCTGCCACGCTTTGCGAGCCCGTCAAGGATAGGGAGGCCAACCCCAGCGCATCCCCTGTGGTGTCGGGGAAGTGCCACGCCCGCCACGCTTTGCGAGCTCGCAGCGGATAGGGAGACCATCCCCAGCGCACCGCCTGTGGTGTCGAGGAGATGCCACGCCTGCCACGCTTTGCGACCCCGTCACGGATAGGGAGACCACCCCCAGCGCAATCCCTGTGATGCCGAGGAAGTGCCACGCCTGCCACGCTTTGCGAGCCCGACACGGATAGGGTGACCACCCC